AGTGAAATAAATTTGGAAAGAGGAAAAGAGGGACATGAAGAATTCAGAAGATTAGAATTTGGGAGAACACAGAGAGTGGATGCACCTGCGCCATTGCAAGCGATTTTGAGCCATGTCATTCAGGGTCTCTAACCATCGGTTGCTATCATCTCGCGGTCCCCAACCAGGTAGTCTACACCTACCAACATGACTCAGTTCACTTGTCAGTGACTTCATGGACTTGTGCTATGTTTTGGTTTGGCCGCCCCTAGCTTTCTTCCAACCTACTCCTATACCACTGAACATAGCACGTCGAGGCAGTCGGTCGTTGGGCATACGTAACACGTGTCCCAGCCATCTCAACTGATGAAGTTTCACTACGTCATCAATTGATTTGCCATCCTTACCTAGTACCCGTTTTCTAACAACTGTGTTACTTACTCGATGGTCCCATGATATACGAGCAATGTTTCGAAGACACCTATGATCGAATACTAGTAGCCTACGGATATCCTCTACTCTTACCGGCCATGTTTCACTGCCATAAAGTAGGACGGAACGAACTGCTGCGCAGTAGACACGTCCTTTGGTTGATAGACGGATATCTCGCCTACGCCATAAATGACGCAAGTTGGCAAAAGCTAGTCGAGCCTTCTGTATGCGTGCTGAGATTTCGTCACACACCAGACCACAAGGGCTGATGAGACTTCCAAGATAAGTGAAGCGGTCGACACACTCAACTACTTCACTCCCTATCACTAGTTCGGGTGTCGATGTAACCCAATCCTGAAGCAACATTTTGCATTTCGAGGGAGAGAATCGCATCCCGAACATGCTTGCATTGTTGCTTAGAGTGGTCAGAAGACTCTGCATTTTGTCAGCGTCTTCACCAAATAAAACTATGTCATCTGCATATTCTAAGTCAACAAGTGAACCTCCCGGTAGAAGTTCAACCCCTGGAAATCTAGATGAGGAAAGTGTTATCTCTAGAAGTACGTCCACGACAAAGTTGAACAAGAATGGGGAGAGTGGACAGCCCTGACGAACACCACTTGAGGTAATCAATTCTGATGACAGTTCGCCATAAGCTCTCACTCTACCAGTTGTGTTCGAGTAGAGAGCCTTTATAAGGTTAATGTACTTCTTTGGTACTCCTTTCAGTGACAAACACTGCCATAGAACCTCACGATCAACAGAGTCGAATGCCGCCTTAAGGTCGAGAAATACTACCATTGTGGGGCGTCTGAATGTGTCTGTGTTCTAGAACCTGACGTAGTGTGTATATCTGGTCTATACAACCACGTCCAGGTCGAAAACCAGCCTGATTTTCTCTAGTCTGCTCTTCACGAGCTTTGATTAGGCGTCGAAGTATTATTGAAGCTAATATTTTAGACACTATATTAGTCAAACTGATTCCTCTGTGATTGTCACAAGAGGACTTTTGTCCTTTCTTATAGACTGGCACAATCAGTGATTGAGACCAGTCAGATGGGATTACGTCCAGTTCCCAAATTCTACCTAAGACCTCGGTTAATCTCATTGCTAATACTGGACCACCATCCCTAAAAATCTCAGGAGTAAACCTGTCAGGGCCTGCTGCTCTCCCTCGTTTCAGATTTCCTATGGTTTTTTCAACTTCGTAAAGGGACGGAGGACCTACATTAACTTGCCATTCAGGTTGACTGGAGATCGTTAGAAACCGAAATGTGGCTGAAGGCCAGTTGAACTGATCCCTAAAGTGTTCTGCCCATCGATCCAATCTCCTGGATTGAGAATGAATAATATGTCCATCTTTCTCTGAGATTGTTTCGCTAACGGTCGGGTTCCTAATTCCGGTTTCCTTAACGAGTCTGAACAATTGTCTGCTATTACCTATTGCCGCTGCCTTTTCCATCTCTCTTGCTTTCGCCACCCACCACTGTTCGCGATCATTGCGTAGGCTTCTGGTCAGCTTGCGCTTAAGCTGACTCCGCTCTTCATTATGTTCAGAGCCAGGTGGAATGAGTTTCCGAGCATCTATCAGTGAGATAGATGCTGCTGAGATCCAGTGTTGCTCCCTAACCTTCTGGTTTACCTTACTAGCAGATATCACTGCTGTTTCCACAGCTTTTCGGATATCATTCCATGCTGCATCGGGGTGGGCATCACATACATGGCTGCCTAACTGTTTTCCTAGTTGTTCCTGAAATATACTCTTAGCTTGACTATCATTAAGTAGGCCCCTAAGAGGTTTTCTTGCAGTGTTCGTACGTTAAAAGCTCCTACGTGTAGTTTAGAGCGTGGTTTCAGGAGACCAGGAATGGCGTTCCACGTACTCGAATCGTTTTCCCTAGCGGTGCGAGGTGATAAAGAGACGTGGGGAGGGTTAGTCGGGGAGATAAGAGAGGTATTAGAAGGTGTAGGAAAGATTTGAATGTGACCACCTTGGTCTCTTGTGCTGTTGCGGGTATGGGGGCTGATATCACTTCCCGGCTGCCCACACCGTGGAAGGGTATTTCTTGAGGAACCTGAAAAGGAAATTGGATTAGTGTTGGTCTTGACGACCTGGGAGCGTGACCGCAGAGCCCAAGGGACAACTGCTTGAGGCCGGTCGCGCACGGCCTTTTTGTGGAAGATTTTTGACGTGTTAGCTCCGTTCTTCAAAGGGCCTTACCGCCGGAGACGGAAATCCGTGAGGTAAGGTGAGGTGTGACATTTTTAGGGTCGACCTTTTCTAACCCCACCCCTCCTTGTGGGAAGGCAGCATCGCTGTCATGCTGGATGTCCGAGGGAAACACCTTACTGCTGTCACACCCCTCTACAGTCAGCAGTACGACTTCGCCCTCAGACCTTGAGTTGCTGCTTTTAGTCTTACCGTTCACCAATCGACCTGCCTGGCATGGTAGAACCTGCAGCCAATATAGCTCGGTTGGGTCATCACGATAGGCAAGCCCGACCACCGCGTCAAGGTAGCAGCTTCGATCGGGAGTGTACACACTTACGCCATTCTGATCGATTCTGAGCCATGTCACCCAGTCTCCAACCATTGATTACGATACTCGCACGAACCCAACCAAGTACTCTACATCTATCAACATGGCTCAGACTAGAAGCAAGCGACTTCAAGCACTGATACGGCATTTTGGTATGGCCGCCCCTAACTTTTCTCCAACTATCCCCAACACTAGTCAGCATTGTGCGTCGTGGTAATCGGTGTTCAGGCATTCGTAAAACGTGGCCCAACCATCTCAGTCGATGAAGATTTACAACCTCATCAACTGATTTTTCATCCTTCCCTAATACCCTGCGTCTAACCTAGTAGCACTTCATGCAAAAAAAGTAAATAGCATAACTCTAAATACCCAGTTGTAATTAGACAGCAACAATTTGGGAATAGTCCAGTTACTATAACTGACTAACTGGAGCTAATATGGTGAGGCACGTCTGTCTACGTATACAATAACCATTCCTTAATGTCATTTGTCACAACTGCAAAGAGATTGGTCGTATTAAGTGGATTTATGTCCTATTACTATCGTATCCGCAGAGGCGTAAACGAAGAAGACGAATATTTATTTATTTGAACACTTAAATATTGGTACAAAGCGGCACCGAATACATATGCGCCACAAGTCACTTGGTTTGTATGTGAGCTCTGATATTGCCCGAGTGCCCAAACCAATGCAGGTGGTTTTCTTAGGGGGCCTTCGACCCAAAAGTCTGATCTACAAGGTGGTGGAGAAACCTCAGAAGATGCAGTCCCATAGTAGCCGGTGACTAATAATTGGTCCATGCATTATCTGTTCTCTCAGGATCCTGGAGCCTATATGCACTATTGGTTTGGAATCAGGGTTTTTCAACTCCTCCAGGTGGATCCTCCATATCCACCAACCAAGTTACAGCGCCGGACATTTGCTTTTCGCCCTCTCAATTTCGTAAACAACAGTAATGCCGCAAGAAGGCAGTGGATAAATTGGAGAATGACATTATTCACACCACTGCAACCAATTTCGTATTCATCATGTTACAATTATAACGCGTTTCAAATTTTTGCAAGAAAATCAAATGGATAGTGATGAGTAACCTTCACTAAGAAAAATAGCGCTACCTTAGTAGATTAGATAAAAGTAAATTGTTGATCAGTTAATTCAAAGTTTAAGAAAAATATAGACAGAAAGAACCCTTTCAGTAAAAGTTCTCACATTTTTATAGAAAGTACGCAAAAATCGTAACAAGATCGCAACTGGCTTCGACTCAGACCTACGACCGATAATGTCTCAAGCCACCAAGCTGCACTATCTTTTGGACCACAACCAGGGAATCACGGTATACAGATAGATGTCATACCCCGGGACAAGGTCTTGAACTTACCACCTATCTTTTGTCAACCAGTTCCAGCTTCGGTAAATAAAGCACGATTTAAAAGTCACTGTAATGACACTCATAGCATTTAGCCACGTCACCGAACCCGTTGTTTCAAGATGGTGACACCGATTAGACTGTTTTCACTACCCGACCACACGTTCCCGAACTTGAGTTAACATACACTGTTACATGTATACTATATTGTTAAGGGTTTGTAGTTCCCTGTTGTTAATATTCAGAACTAAAACTGAGTAGTTATTGAAATACGTAAATCGTGAGCGGTTGGCATCAACATAACCTAGTGGTTACAATGTGAACATTAATACTGAGATGGGATGAGTCTTAGGTAGGATAAGACGCATGACCTAGATTCCACAACAATCCAACTATATTAAAAACCATTCACGTATTAATAAAACTATAATTACTCAGTTGGGAGAAGATAGTAGGCAGGTTTAACAAAAAGAACAACTATTTACATGAGAAAATGGAGACTACACCATTGAAGAAAGAACAAACGTAGAATATAATGTAAGTGAATTATGTGACCAAAGGAAATCTCATTTTTAAATGAAAGAATTGTAGGTCATATGAAAACATATTGTCATATACAAAAAGTATTATTTTACACATGTACTCATAGTGCAGAAAATACAGTCATGTAGTCATTGATTTGTAGAAGCAAATAAGGTTGAATGTATATTTTATTCTTCACCATAATGTCCATGGAGTTAAACGTAAGTGATATACTGGAACCACAGAAACATTAACAGGAAAATCAACTAATGCTTTTGTTAGATTTAAATTATCCAAAGCAGTGGTTATTGAATGCCTTTAAAATTAAAGAAAAAAATCAAATGTGAACCTCTAGTTAACTATTTTCAAAATCACCAAAACCAGTTAATACTTATGTATATTCGACTAAAATTTGTTTCCTATTGAGCTTATTACTACGTTATTTATAGATAACAGGGAAAATAAGTTTATGGTTTTTTTATTTTAACACATAGATATTGGTACAAGGAGGCACTAAATACACATGTGCCACACAAATCTCATTCGAGATGTGTGAGGGCTGTGATACTGCCCGGGTGCCCAAACCGAAGCAGGTGGTTTTCTTAGAAGGCCACACCCCGAGCCTTCGACTTAAAGGTCTGATCCACAAGACGGTGGAGCATCGTGAGGAGATGCAGTTCCATGGAAGCCGGTGACCAACAATTGGTTCATACTCCATTTGTCCCCGTAGGATACTGGAGCCCATGTGCACCATTGGTTTGGAATCCGGTTAAAGTGCCGGACATTCGCTTTTTGTCCTCTCATTTTCGTAGACAACACCCTTGGTAGGAGAAGGCAGTGAGTAAGACTTCCCTGGCAGAGGCCATATATGCGTGGCCAAGTAAGTATTAATTATCACCAGAATAGTTGAACCTATTGAATGAATGATAATCTGTGACAGGTTAACATATATTTACAGTGTGAAACCGATGAAATTCGGCCACTTAAAAGTTGTTAAATTGTGACTGAAATTAACAGAACCAATAGCATTAGGTCATTTGGTATTCAAGTTAACCTATTCTTCTGAAACCTAATCAGAAAGTCTCCGAATGCCAATAGAGTTCGACCAAATAATCAATGACTCCATAGATTGATACTCAACTTTGATTTGATTGTTTTTGACTTTTTTCAACAAACTCAATTTTTAACCAGGATGGTTCACACGGGTAAGCAGTGGGTTGACCTGCAAAACACATATATTGACTAACTACGTTAGTAAACATTCATAGACTCATCAACCACCTATAACTTTTGTCCGACGTCTATTTTCAACATTAATCTTTATTTCCATCACACACGATAAGTAAAATACCGATAACCTTTAAAAATCGTTCTTTACAATTAAATAGCGAGAGCAAACTGTTGGGGAATATATTCGCTCCTTGATTGGCAAACAGGCAGAGGCCAAAGAAGCTTTGGTACTCGTGTTAAGATATCGTCAGTTACTGGTTCGCCACATATGATGACATTTCCTAGATAAAACAGCCAAAATGCACTGATACATCATTTTTAATGATTAAAATGAATCCTATAACAGAATAGTCCTGAAAAGACATTACCTATTTGAAAGTGAAACTGTCACTCTGAGCGTTTATAGGATAACACTTTCATACCATCTATGAGAAGCAGAACTGTCATTAACATACTCTGATGATGAAAACCTCCAGTTAACTTAATTATGGAAAAGGAAGAAAATATACTGTAGTATTCATTGGGTGAATACAAATTTCTTAGTTAAACGCAATCCAGAATCTTGCACGTGTGTACATTTATTTAAATTCTCATATTACATTACTATGGAGAAATAAGATTATCAGGGCAAATCCCAGATTACTAAAGGTATTAATGGAATTAATATTAATAGAAAAGCTTGAGCATCGAAGATGTGGTCGAAGACGTTATAGATTAAAGAATAACCTAGAAAATCTATGAGGAGTCAGGAAACCTAGGTCCTGAAAAAAGAGAGTGATTGCGTTTGCGCCACTTAGAATGATTTGAAGCTATGTCACCCAAGGTCTCCAACCACCGTTGAGCGCACGCAATACATGTCCCAACGACTTCAAACGGCAAAGATTCACCGACTCATCGATTTATCTGCCATCTTTACAGAGTATTCTAAGTTTCACTTCAGAATTTGCAATTAGATGGTCCTAAAATAAACAACCGATGATTCGAAGATACATATTATTATTAATGGCTTTATTTAATATATATGATCAAATACTCGTAACCGATGGATATGCTGCACTTTCAAACAACATGTTTCACATCCATAAAGTTAGACAGGACTACTGCGCAGTAAATTCGTCGTTTGGTTGTCAGACGGGTATCCCACCTGCGTCACAAGTCACACATTTCGGCAAAAGCCAATCAAACCTTCCGAATCCGCGCCGAAATTTTGTCAGATACCGCCACATTGGGACTGATGAGGCTCTCAAGATAATCGAAAGGATCGGTACATTCAACTACTTGACTCCCTATTACTGATTCAGATGCCAGGGAAAATCAATTCCGAGGCAAGATTTTGCAGTTGGAAGGAGAGGAGAGCATCCAAAACATCCTTGCTTCGTTTTTTGATGTGGTCAGAAGACTGCATTGTGTCAGTGTCTCCACCAAACATAACTATATCATCTGAGTCAATAAGTAAATATCCTGGTAGGTCAGCCCCTAAAATGTCAGGCGATGAAGGTGTCATTTCAAAAAGCATGTCGATCACAAGGTTTAACGAAAACGGGGGAAATGTACAACCCAGACAAACACTATTTGAAGTTATAATTTCTGATAACCGTTCGACATAAGCTCGGACTCGACCAGAAGTGTTCGAGTGGAACATGTACTATGTTAATGTACTTTTTTGGTACGTCCTGTAATGACGGAAACTGCCTTAAAACTTGTCGATTTACAGGACCAAATGTCGCCTGGGGGTCGAGAAATTAAACTATGGTTGAGAGTCGGTAAGTATGCCTGCGATATAAAACCTGGGGTGGTGCGAATGTTTAGTCTACACATCCACAGCTAGATCTGAAACAAGCATGGATTCCTCTAGTTTGATCTTTATGAGTTCTCGTTAAGCACCGGATGATTATTGAGGCAAATATCTTGAATTCAGTGTGCAAATTATCTCACGTAGTGACCTCATGCATTTGTCTCTCCACTGATCCAGATCAGCAGTGGATTTTGAGTTACTTAACTGCACCATTCGTTCTCAAAATTCTCATCTATAACATTCTGAAAACAGCTCTGATGTAAGTAAGAAGTGGTGGTCTGAACCTTTCCACTGGAGAAAGTTACTGATATCGAGTACGCGAATGATATTGTCTTACTGTCCGATGACGATTGTTCTACTTTCACTCACCAGTTAGTTTATTCAAATAGTTCCTAATCGCTATCCTTAAATTTCAGATGCACAATAACAGGTGCTGTTGCTCGGCATAAATTTCATGAAAGGAAAATGAAATCAGCTGTAACATTCGTTAGTTGTTTGCATGAGTGTTTACATAAACTTCACTAGTCTTTAGGGTTGGCGCATGTAACACGAGATCATACTGGATTACTACACAACCGAAGTTTTTAAATGGTTTGATGTTTCAACTACATTTACTTGAATGCTCCCGTTTATATTCGCCTAAGTGACTTTTAAGTAAACTGATTTTCGTACTATATGGGAGGTCTTTTCCTTACAACCATCTGTCGAGCAAGATAAGCGGCTAGCAAAAGGAAATTACTTGTGTCCACCAAAGCAGTTTAAGATTTAAAAAGTATACAAATAACATACCCATCTTTTCCATTCATAAACGCACATGGTATCTGCACACGTCTGGAAGTATCGTCCTGAATCATGCTAAATGTGTGGATAGCCTTGCGGTTAAAATCATAAACAATCACAGCAACTGCACCGGCAACGTGAGCATTAATAGCTTTCGTGACGAAACTACAACCTCTATTTACACTGAAATGATACTGATAATTACCTACCCACGAATTATGAGAGCAATATTTCGATTCACTTCATGTGCATTACTTACCAGCTCACATGCGTGAGGAGGTTCTGTTAGCACTAATGACGTGGACGTAAATGTTGTATTCTTAAATAAGTAGAAGCCAATAAGAAAGATATTTACGTACAAAATGGGGTCCTATTTGACCAGGACTTAAGCGATATGTAAACGGCAGAGTAGATGGATTTATCACCCGAAGATGTAAATAATCATTTTCTCCTAAAACATATTCAATAAAGTTAAAACTAATGAACTTAGTCAAACCATTCGAAATACTTATGAGGATAAAAAACAACTCAAGCAAAAGTAACATGCATGAATACAGACTAAATGACCCGCTTCAGCAACCTAAGGCGGTATGAGTATCCCCTAGGTCAATATTTAAATGTTTGAAAATGTCTTTTGGTTTATTATGTGAGGCATCTACTTTCAGCCTGCGTTTCTAGAAAGACGTTTGTCGACTATTGCCTGTAATTTTCCAAGCATACACGGAAAAATCAAAACAGCAAAGCTTGTCTGTAAATTTGCTTGATAAGAGATAAAGGACATTCAATTGATTATGCTATGTTTTTAGATTGCAAGGTGGGAATTTTTGATAAGTTAAGCCACAATTCCTGTTCTAAATTCTTTGAGTTATGATATAGCGAAACTTCAGTCAGTAAGAATTATTGGTTGATGAGATACTTAAAATATATTCTTTCAGTACATTAACAACTAGATTAAATGCCGAAACTCCCTTAAAATGAATCTGTAATTGATTTTATCATTTATTCCAATGATTTACTCTTCAACCTACAGACTCCGGCCATGAATACGTATGAGCGTCTTTTCTGTTCATGTTCTTTTGTGTTTCACCCTTAAGTGGTTCCCTCTTAATTTGAGTTTGTCATCCTGTAGTAAGTAAAGTAGGGTACATTTGATTTGGAGAGTCGTTTGACTAAGACTCGGGGTTGTACTACTGTAACTGCCTGTTCTCATTGTCATATCCGCTTCGCCGAATTCTCACTACTCTAAACAAAGTCAACCATTAGCAGCTTTTCGTTGTTCCGAATTCTTGACCGAGTACACACGAGATTCAATATATCCCTTATAAACTGAACTCGACTTTTAATATCAAATAAACTAATACTCGTCAATCACATCAACAAGAATTTAGGACCTTAAATGTCTATCATTAGTAAGCAAGACCAAAGGAAGGCTTTGGTAGATTGGTCGTACCGTTTCTTATACAGAATGAGGAACAAGTAGGGGATGACACTAAACTATTTAAAAAAATAAACTAATCGATCAATAAGACAAAATGCCTGCATGGAATGAGGAGGTCAATAATATCAGATTCTAATTATAACGTTCTTATCTTGACTGAAGACTTTTATTATATCTTAAATACCTAATTTTGTTGTTACATCAGCCTCTATTTCGAGCTACTTGAAATTTACCTGTGTCTGTTTAATACCAACCATATCTACTCTGTTCTTGGATCTAAAATCTGGCTAACACATATTTTCCTAGTACCATATTATCCCTCGTCTTGGCGGACATGTCTACTCACTGCAAATTATATCAAGTAGCCTGTCGTTAATTTGAGAAGCAAAAGTATTGGTGTCATGAACAGTAATACAAATACGAATATCTGATCAAGTAACGCGAGCAGACTGTAGGGCCAGTGCACTGTCACCATACTCTGGCCAAACCCGTCAGTCGGATCACTGAATGTCTAACAGTTCGCCGATCATCGTCAAGTTCAAGGACAACCAACGCGCACCAACTGATTGTACGCCATAGGCCGGCCCATGCGACGGCAGTCACAATTTATCCCTTGTTCCTACTTTTACCAATACTTTTCTGTAATAATGTCCTTTGTATTATACAGATTCCGTGCAGCCACAGCAATTTGATACAACAGGAAGGTAATCCATGTCAGGTGCTGACTGCGTGATGTGTCTTTGGTGTTAACTATCGGTCATATCAGCCCTATCTAACTTGAGTAGTTCCCAAACCATTCGACACAGATCATCTACATTAATGATCAACAAAACTATTCAGCATGATTTTCCTTATAATTTTAGCATACAAAATCCACTGATCTCAACGTTTTATATCCACTTGCTTTCAAACTGTTTGGCTTCGGAGTTATGGAATAGCACTCAGAACACAGTAATTTCTGAACTTATATAATTTCATAACTTCTTCCGTCATATTTTGTTTAAAAATAAATAAATGTAAAAGAAGGCTGTCAGTTATGTGAAAGGTAATAATTTCTTTATTATGGACCTTTTCCCTTAACTCTGAACATCAGTAACTTATATTGCTCTGGTTGCGTGGTCTGTCAACCGTGATTGGTGGGTTTGAGTTGACCAATTTTGTAAAATTATTTCCTGAAGAGTTTACTGACACTACTGAACCCGTGATGTGTCTTTAAAATATGACGCAAGCTGTTCTCACTTATTGATCTCCCAGAACAAAGTTACACACATCTGTACCAACGAAATATAGAAGATAACGGTAAGCCACACAGTCACCTTACATTCCTTGTTGAATTTCCAGAGCTCCAGATAAGTGAAGATGATTATTTTCGGATACATTTTCTCCGACACTATGAAATTACTTAGATTGACCTCTCCACTTCGAAATACAGTTATGATGGGATATCTAGACTTAACAGGGCAATTTCTTTCTTTTCGAAATCGATATCGAGAATATGAATCCACTAGCCACACTAGTCTCAATCACCATTCATTTCGCAAGTTAAAGACTGCTCTTTTAATTTCTGTCAGTCTTCAAGATTTCAATCCATAATTGAAAACTGTTTAGAATTGTCACAGAAAACTGACCAACAATTCCTGCTGTAGTAACGAATAAACATCCAATCTCGCATCACCTTTCACGTTATCTATGTTTAATAGTAGATATTATGGAATGTACGGGTCATTATCTTTTTAATCTTCAAACTTATCTAACCCTGAAGAGGCTATGATAATATTCATTTGTTCTAGTGTGATGTGTTAGCTAAGATAGTGGATGGTAGAATACAAACATCTGTTGTGGCATGGGAACCTAGTCACACGAACTTTGAAGCCGAGCATATAATTGCTGAAAAGATTTCTATTCGACAAGTGAAACGAAGAGAAGGTCAATGATGGAGAAGACGGGAATTATTAATTCATTTCAACGGGAAGGCATGACAGCCTTGAAGTCGTGATAATTCTGCATAACTTGTCCTTACTTACATTAAATAAAGTACTCTATCTTAAGCCTAAATGTGTTCTTTACAAACTTCAGAAATCATGTTGATAAATGTTGCGAAACAACGAGTCAGTGCATACAATGATGCGACTTCCACATAAGATTTTACAGGTTAGATAGTCACATCGTGACATATTTACAGTTTTAGGATTGGGTCTATAATTATAATTATACTAATAACGAAGGAGACCGTAATTCTACACCACTTCGCTTACAGCCAAAGTGCTTACTGGATTACAGAACTGTTGGACAATGACAGTGGGGTCAGATGTCACGTTTCGTCGATATATGCAAGACTAGACATTTCCGAAGAAGCACAAATGATCGAGTGTATCCCAACCAAATGCTGACCTATATGAACAAAACAATGACAATTTGTGGGAGCAACACACTATTTTGACAATAATTTTGCTGGCGAGGAACAGTGTATACTCAGATTTGTTACGAAGAAAGATGCGTCATACAGCAAACAGCCATCATAAAACATATTGTCCCAGGCTAGGAATGTCTACTGACTGAGAATCAAGAGCCAGATAATGATTATTTTCGGAGCCGCCCACAAACATGCGAGAATGCTTCCTTGTCGCCTCTCTCACTGTGGTTATGTCAATTTTCCTAGTCATATTTAGGAAATAAATATTTTTTATTTCCAATTTCATGTGTGACTTTTGTGTTTTCGAAGAGAATGCGACTCGCAGTGGTTAGCGTGACGGATGTTAGAGTGTATACTACAGGTGATTACGGTAAGATTGTAATTGATTGACAACTTTCTAGGGACTCTGAAATGAACTTGAGAATATCTGTAGAACTATGGTCTATTATAATATTAGTTCTGCTCTAATAATAGACCTAATCCTAAAATTGTAGATTTGTCATGATATAACTGCCTAATCTATAAGATCTTACGTGGAAGTCACACCATCGACTACACCGACTCACTGTATAGTATCAACTACCATTACATGATGTAGAACAAGGTTAGGCTAGAGAAAAAACAATATATTTAATATGAATAGAAGATATAAGGTAATATTCAGCAGAGACCACGCCTGCATGGCCGAGCCATGCCACTCGATCAACTCCAATTCATTCAGTTATCTGTTCCCGCCTTTTCCATCGTTAGGTATATCTCAACGTTAAATATTGAATATCTATTTTCCGAGTAGTGTTGTGTCCAGCTTTGAAGATTGTGTGGTTATGGTCTAATGCCACTACATATCCACCAACTTACTGGCGCTAGATGATGTCCGTAAACAATATAAGGGATAGAGGTCTATAGTTGGATGTAAGGTTTCATAGTTAAACTTAGGGTTTTCATTACGAACTGACGCTAACTATAGTGCAAAACTGCTACTTAGCCAGACGGAAAAATGAACTTTGTGTTAAGTTCCATGACCCATATTCTTAAATCAGTTTGTTTCGTACACAAACTATAGTCTTATTGAATTCACATTAACTAGTTTCAGAGATAGCATAAGCCAAGTTCCGAACCTATTATCATTCACTAATAAAGACTTGAACTGTGTGGTTTGTCTATCAGGGTATTTTGGTGATCTACCCACATCGAACGAAACATGGATGTTCTTGCTCATAGTGTATTTTGCAAAATAGTTCTACTAATGAACAAGTAAAACCCTTCGTCAGTTTAGTTTCTTTCGCAATAAATTCATCAATAAATGGAGATATATATAAGACTAAACCATCTTCAGGTTAATATCGGTCTATCATCAATCTGTAACATGTGGATTGGTCGCTAAACAGGATTGATTTGCATTATTCCTACTGCTGGGTGATGTAATGTACGATAATTTCTTGTATTGGGGAGAAGGTTTACACTGTTCTTACACTTGCATACATATAATAAGTGAAAATGACAATGTGCGACTAAAACGGGTTTGTAGTGGCATTGGACCATAACCACACAATCTTCAAAGCTGGACACAACACTACTCGGAAAATAGATATTCAATATTTAACGTTGAGATATACCTAACGATGGAAAAGGCGGGAACAGATAACTGAATGAATTGGAGTTGATCGAGTGGCATGGCTCGGCCATGCAGGCGTGGTCTCTGCTGAATATTACCTTATATCTTCTATTCATATTAAATATATTGTTTTTTCTCTAGCCTAACCTTGTTCTACATCATGTAATGGTAGTTGATACTATACAGTGAGTCGGTGTAGTCGATGGTGTGACTTCCACGTAAGATCTTATAGATTAGGCAGTTATATCATGACAAATCTACAATTTTAGGATTAGGTCTATTATTAGAGCAGAACTAATATTATAATGGACCATAGTTCTTCAGGTCCATTAATCTTGTTAAATGAAGCCACTGCAACTTATGGATAGACAAGTATTTCTTCCTACATGTTTCCTAGAGCGATTGCCGGTCAAAAAACGTAGGAAAAATAGGAGAGTTGGGTATGAGTATAACAACCCCATCCCATGAAAGAAAACCTTGCTTAAAAAGTCCTGACCAGATGAAATTGTTAAGATCTGTATTTGAATTTGAAGTCTATAATTGCAGAGGAGCAATGACATCATATGGTGATAGCTGCGATTCTTCCCGGAGTCATGAGGCCTATGCCCTCTTCTAACAAAATGCGACAATTAATATAGCTTCATGGAATGTCAGCCTAGCGTTTGAGAATGGGAGAACCACTAAAGTAACTGCGAAAATTAGAAAACACAACTTGGTGTTGTTCAGAATAAGTGAAACCGTTGAATGCAAGCTGAAAATGATATGATTAGCCACAGGAGAGGTGCTATTTCACTCTGACCATGGAGCAGAAAATGATTTAATACATACAGGGAGCTGCTCTGATGCTTTACAAAGAAGCAGGAAGAGCATTTATAAGATAGGGATCTCGTGAATTCGGAGCCATCCTTATAAACAAAGAAGGAGCCGGTCAGAATGAATGATATTCAGTGCTAAGCAACCACTAACGACAGCTATGGACGCAATAAAGATCAATCTTTTAAGCAGTTGATAATAGAGAAGTGACCAGTAAAAGATCTGACCATGTTAAGTAAGGAAGTAAACGCCAAAGCTGGAATGGAAAACATTCAGTACGAAGATATCATAGCGCCGCATGGACTGAGAGAAAGGAAAATAAATGCGGAAGCAAAGAATACATAGAACAGCCTGGATGCCGCTAGGTGGTTTGAAGTTTTCAGATTATCTATTTTTTTACATCTCATACACTGCAACAAATTAAGGTGAAGACAACAAGTGCAGCAACAGCCTCTGCAGCTGTTAGGCTCAACATTCACAAGCTAAAGACTAATATTCCGAAGTGCAACTCAGAAAAAACCCACGAAATCACACTTGATGGAGAAGCTCTAGAACAGGTAAAAACTTTCACGTACCTGGGTGATGTCATTGATAGATAAGAAGGATCCATTGCAGATGTCAAGGAAAGGGTTGAAAAACGAGAGCAGCATTCCTACACTTGAAGAACATTTGGAAATCAAAACAAATGTCAACCAACATCGAAGTCAAAATCTTCAGTATGAAGGTCAGCGCAGTCCTACTGTACGGAGCTGGAGCTTGGAGTACTATTACAACCATCATCAAAATGGTACAGGTATTTATAAACAATTGTCTAAGCCAGATATTCAATGTTCGTAGGATGAGCACAATCAGTACTAACCTGTTTTGACAGGAAACAACTTATTTTCAGTTAGAGAGGAAATTAAGGAAACATGCTGGAGGTTATTAGAACATACATTGTGGAAATCACCAAACGTTCGTCTTATCCCTCCAATAGCAGATGGCAAAATATATATTACTGTGAGCGACATAATCTTCAACAGCTACAGTTAGAGTACGGAAGCAGTATTTTCTCCCTCACTCCAAAAAGATAAGGACACTGGGGCGCATCCAAAGGTGAGCCACGAAATCAGTCCGGCGACTCAAATTCGAGCCTAATGAAGAGCGCCTCCAATCACGAAACCTTTTTGTTAGGAAACAGGAGTCCCAGAGGTGACGTTTTGATGGCTTACAGCATCCTTAACACTTCTGGACATTTTAAACTTACTTAAGTTTAGCTCCAACACAAAACTAAGTAGTAACACCCAGAAACTGGAGATATAACACTGCAGAGCGGACTGTAGGCACAACTTCTACTCCTTAAGTGTTAAAGCTGGACATCGCTGCAGCCTGATCTAGTACAAACGACTTCCCAGGAGACCTTTAATAGGAAACGTGACATATTCTTAAGAAATAAGGATAGTATCCTACTATGATTTACTTATTTCTTTTTCCTCTATTATCGTTAATATATCTAGGTTGATATCTGAGCGTATTGGTGATCCACTGCTACTAGACACAGAAGCCAGTTAAGCGAAAGCTTCTTCTATTCCGTCCACAACCATTTGAACCGTTTAATGACCAAGTAATATCTTCCATAGATCTTTGAACTCAAAACCGATAGAAGTATCAAAAATAATGTGAGTAAAGAATCACAAAAAGTAAAATATTTAATTTGGGATTGATAACATAACATTGATCCCTGAGCGATTACCTTTATCTGCCTTTATTCGATGAAGCGGTTGCTTTGTACGCTGTGGAAGGATGGCCGACAAAAGGAAACTGCAAAGTGACATTGAAAGAAACCTCAAAAGAGTACAGGAGGGGAGAACTGCCTTCCAGGTATAGTGTAAATTTATGTGGTGGGACTAGTTATTTAGTAAGATATTAGCTATATACAATTTGTAGTTGGTGAAAATGATATGTCTACCGTCTAAAAACTGTGTTTGTATACATATGTACTGTGTATGTTGCAATAGGAACAACGAATATATATTCAAGAGCCATTTAAGTATAAATTTATGTACGAAACGTAAATCTAGAGTAACTTATAAATCACTCGAGTGATTATTCCAAACACCACAATGACGCGTTCTTTCATTTATTGTAGTGATAGCTATCATATGGGAACTTGACATCTGTTCATACAAATGTTAGAAAGTCAGAGTTTCCAGTTTGCCGTTTCTATATATTCATCGACTTTGATGGACCTCGTTTTGCTGAAATAAAGTCACTAAAGTTAAACCTTAATACGCTTTTAGCTAGTCTAGGTCATTTATTACCTAGCTATTAGTAAGGCCTCATTTAAGTGAAAGGCATAGTTTACAGTGACGGTGATTGTGTATTGAAAAGTTTCTAGTTTTTTACGTTTATGTTTTAAGAAATATACGCAACACCAATACCTATCCACAAAAACTCATGAATAACTCAGAAATTTTGAACTTACATTCCATTACATATTTGCCTCATAACTACTGAGTCGCCATTCTGTATATTTTTCACTGAGCTTGAAACAGCCTGACTGTCAAATAGCTCTTATTCTATATATCCAAATGCAAACAGTATTCATTAGTAACGGAGTTCTTTTGTGTTAAAATCAGCATAAATATCCGGTCGAAATTTCATGCTTTTTAGAAAGTGTTTCTGTATGACCGCAAGTTTTTCTTAGCTCATTTACTGTTCATTTAATAATTGTGGTAGAAGTTTGGTTTCATTTTGTTACAAGGGATAAGATACACTAAGAGCTTACAAATATTTAACTGCCAACAGACATCTGAAAAATATTTCACTTAACACGCCAGTTGCAACTTTCTTGTCCCAAACTATTTGTATTTTACATGATTTGTATATAGCGCTGTTTATTCGGAAGATCACCTTGTAGTATACTCAACCCTGCATACAGTATACAGCTTACAAGTTATTGAATATTCACGTGTTCAGATGAAAATTGAGTCATTTCTGATATCCAAGCCTTTGAACACTGTATGAAAGCACCACAATAATTGATCTGTTTCTAGCTGGAGTCACGTACTTCAATTGAAATGCATGTAATTTGACTGGTTGATCATTTATATGTTTCTTAGACCCAATAGGATATTTTCATTAAGTATCAAGTTATTCCACATTTGTTGATTTGGACATTAGCACTTCACATGGTTAGTACGACAAACTAGAGTTGTAAAACTACTATCATTCTGGAAATATCTTTCTACGTTATCATGGACTAGAAAGTTTCATTCGCTCATGCTCTAATAATAGCACATAAGTCAATCTTGTTCTCAGTTGAACCCTCCCCTGACTTTCTAATGCATCTTGTACTCCTATTATTAATCATTCTTTTCTGGTTTAAGGCTTCTTTGAACATACAGCCAGTCATAATAATTCAATCTTAATAAATGAAGCCTTATTTCTTGGATCTAAAACCCAAACTATCTTTTGGGGGCGTTTGCCAAACTGGAAAATAGACTTTACTGGCCATGTGCATGCCGTGTCTCTTAAACACAATTATGAAGGTCAAGTTTGATTATTTTTATAAGTTCAACTAACTTCTGTGGACAATCCACACTGTTCGCTCTTTGCTTATCTGTTGGTTTGTCACCAATTTCTTGTAGTCTTGTCGGTATATATACAACGTTGGCTACGCGAATGTCATATAATTGTCAAAAAGTGGGTAATTTTACCCACTGACAGTTATAGCATATTTTCATATATTTCCTTTTTCCTAATAAATCTAGGAAATACTGGATAAATTTGAAAGTACCAACAATCCAACTCAAAAAGAAAAATTTGAAGGCGATCTAAAAAAAGAAATTAAAAAACTTCAAAGATTAAGAGATCAAATCAAAACATGGATTACAGCTAGTGAAGTGAAAGATAAGCGACCATTATTAGAAGCACGTAAGGAAATCGAACAGGATATGGAACGATTTAAAGTAATTGAAAAAGAGACAAAAACTAAAGCTTATTCCAAAGAAGGTCTATTATCAACTGAAGCGAAAAAAGACCCATTACAGAAAGAAAAAGAAGAATTAGATGATTGGTTAAAACAATGTATTAGTTCATTAAATACACAAACAGAAAAATATGAGTTTGAGATTGAAAGCTTATCAAATAATACTAAAAAGAAAAGAATAGATAAAGAAACAGCTTCAGCAATCGATGAAAAACGTCAACGTTTAGAAATGTGTTGTTTTCATGTTGAAAAACTTGAAACCATTATGCGTTTATTAGATAATGAACGATTAGATTGTACAAAGGTTAGATCTATTCAAGAGTCTATTGAATATGTGATCGATTGTAGTGATAATCAGTCTATGTTTGACTTTAAGAATATTTATGATGATTTATGTTTGGATGAGTTAGGTGATTCTACTGGAATAACTGCAGCACCAGGCACTGCAACAGGAAATCAAGAGCATGATTTAAATGGTGTAATTACCCCCGGTACTACACTAGTAAATCAACGAGTAGGGAGTGATGATGCTGGCTCTTCAACTTCGACTCATACAAGTGCATCAAATAATACAGATTCGTCTGTCACTCATCCTGGGTCATCAGCATCATCCAATGCGTCTTCTTCCCGAGAACGTGCTAAAAGTGATGATAAAGTCTCCTTGTTACCACATGTATCCGCTTCTTCTACTAGTACACCTATGAAATCTTCAAATACACCAGGTTCATCGGGCAAACAAAAACCGGCTGCTTCAATTAATCAAACTGCTCCTGCTCTTATGTCCCAAGTTGTTGCTGGCACTCCTAATAAATCTGGAAAGTTGAACGCAAATAGTCATTCAACATCAAACAGTATGACAATCGTTGCCGAGATAGGCCCGGCCAAACCCTCTAGTACTATAGATTCTCAGGTCGTTGTTGACGATCTTGCTCGAAACCAGAAGAACGAAACCACCCAAAAACATAATGACCGTCCCAATACAGTTACAACAAATCCTCAGTTACAATCACAGATAAAAAATGGCCCCAGTGACGATAGCAATTCATTAACACCTTTCTCCTCTGCTTCAGGAACAAATTCAACGTCTACAGCACCTAGTCTTGCATTTTCCGCCTCTCATATAAAGGAAGATTCTTCTGTGATCAACAGTCGAGAAGAATTACTTGCGCCATGTCAACCGTCATGTGTTTCCAACTCAATAAATTCTTCGTCACCTATTCCGCTCCGAAGTATGTCATCTGAAGTTAGCAAAGCTTCAGGTGTTACTAATGCTTACAACAATTCGATGCTTTCCACTTCTACAGACGAAAACTCTGAAAACGTAAATCGTACTCCTCCCAGTCTATATTCAACGGCTATGCTAGCTGCTTCTCAGGATAAACAATTGTCATCCCTACTCGCTTGCTCTCAACATCCATCTTTAGGACGTGCAGGTTCGAATTCTGTTGTGGATCCGTCACTTTCTGCAATTTCCTTGTCCAGTAAATTTCACTCAACATCTGGTGTTTCATCTTTACCACTTCCTTCAACTATCATATCTACAACCAATCCTCAAGTACAGTCCTCTTATTTGGGACTAGACAGCCAACTATCCAGTATACAACCGTCTTTACATTCTCAACAAATAAAAAATCAGAATAGTCCTGTTCATGCTCATATGCATCCACGTGATGCTGCTGCTCCCTTCCGTAACAGAAATTTGGACAAACCCAAAGGAGCTGTACCACAAGAGGTAAGTTCATTTTTGTCTTCTCCGTTCCGATCCATTTCTCATATGTCCTGGTCTTTCTATGGATTTTTGTTTACATCATTGCATTGATTTAGTCTTAACCGACCTAACGTGATTGCGCAATGATTCGAGCTGTCACAATAATATTTCATTAAGATGAAAAAAAGCCCAGCCAGTACAAACGGTTAATTTCATTAGAAAATACAATGCTTCTACCATCCACTATAATCAATCCATAGATTTTATCGCAAGAATACCATCTTGTGGTGCCACACAAGCCGATAAGTGTTTTAAAATGGCAAACAAAAGTTCACTCATTCCTCTATTTTCTAGCAATTATATACTACTAGAAGGAAAAGGAACACTTCAGATTTCTTTTCCTAAATGCCCTGGACGGCCAAGGGTTTATTTTTTTATTTGGACACATAAATATTGGTACAAAGGGGTACTGAATACATATGCGCCACACAAGTCACTTGATTTGGGTGTGGAGAGTCAGCTCTCTCTCTCGAAATCCTCTCACACGGACACGAATGTATCTGCTGCCAGAGAAGTTCTACTCATTGCCTACTCCTCGCGGTTTGTTGTTTACGAAATTGAGAAAACGAAAAGCGAATGCCCGGCGCTTTAAGCGGGTTGATAAACATGAAGAGTCTACCTAGGGGAGTTGGAAAACCCTGATATTAATGTTTCGTATGTTTTGAGTTGACGTGGTTTTGCAAAAAAGAATTCGATGTTTCATTTTAAATTCTCAGGTTGTGGTTGACCAAAAAACACTACTCTAATTTGTTTGGTTTCAGTTCACACTCGTGAGAATCATTATTATAATACTAAAGACGATTTGTTATCAATAGTCTATTCAATCCTGTAAACCATAGTTCTGGTTTTAGTTATCCATTAAAAATTCCTCTCATAGTATTGATGAAAGGTATTGTAGTGAAACTCCAGGGTAAACATTCGTTTTCTATATGTCACAGTCATGGATCACTGATATGTAAGTATCTTAATATTATCGACATCTTACTATCAAATCATCCGAAAGTTAGTTATCATGAAATACCTATCAACATTACATTAGACTGTTAAACAAATTGTTATATTTGTAATATTTCTTGAAACACTACAGATTCATTCTATGGTGAAAAAACCACAGTTTATGAAATCATTATACGAGTAGTCTTTTGCCAGAATCCTAGTGTTTGTTTTGGTAAACTTTTTGGCAAACAAAGCCTTGATATGCACGTATATTTAATCGTATTCTTTAATCTTAAGTTGGTTTTTGCTACAAATTTTCAGTAGGATAAGAACCGGAGGTCGCTAAGTAACTGTTTTATCCCAGTTTGAAACTTATCATTAATAGATCCTTCCACTCATAAGAGCTCGAATTCAAGAGATTCAGTTATCCGTATGTCCGCATTACCATTTAGACCAATGAGTCGTAATTGATTTCTACATATTTACCGACTTTAGTCACTCGATTATACTATATGGAGCTGGGTTCAAACCCTATATTTGAAAGTCGAACACCTTAATCATTGATTCGCCGCTCCATCATCTAGTACTATCAGACAAGGTCATGGGTAAGCGCTCTTGATGAGCCTTTCACTAGGACGAACTATCTATCTATCAATCCCTAACTTCTAATGATTTCGAGCTATTTTTCAAACGACTTTTAAATTGAACGAATCTCGACAGACTTATTATATAATAGAAAAATATGTTGTTTTAATCTTTTAAACATACATTGGAACTCTACTAATAATTCTCTAACCTTATTAATTTTAATCGAGGTGTCGGTAGTTCGATTTTCCAAAATATAAATAATACTTTCTGTCTAAATATTTGCCTACATTTGAATTAACCATAGTAAATTAGGGCTTATTGATAAAGATGATGAAATATATTTTTCTAGCATACTTGAAAATTATCAAGTTAGCAATAGCATTTAAATTGTTAATGACAAATATAAAGTGTACTATATGATATATGATAATAAGGATCTTATGAATAGGTTTCTCATTTTGTGTTTTTGTTATAACTTGTGGCTTGTGTGCCCTGCTAATGTATAACGTAACGATACCGCCAATTAGAGAGCAGTGACTTATCGATCGGATCAATGACGCGTAAACCCGTATAAACAGTCTAGAGTCCTTATTGATCCTGCTTTCCGCCTAGCCCAGCCAGTTAAGTACAGAACACCAATCTCAGCCTCTGAGATATGAATCATTTATTTCAAACATACTGGGTTTATATACAATTCAGACAGACCAAATCGTACCAATAAAATAGGAAACAACATTTGTACAAGATTTAGCCAAATGGTCCCGACTTCAAGCACTGATACCGCATTTTGGTATGGCCGCCCCTAACTTTTCTCCAACTATCCCCAACACTAGTCAGCATTGTGCGTCGTGGTAATCGGTGTTCAGGCATTCGTAAAACGTGGCCCAACCATCTCAGTCGATGAAGATTTACAACCTCATCAACTGATTTTTCATCCTTCCCTAATACCCTGCGTCTAACCTAGTAGCACTTCATGCAAAAAAAGTAAATAGCATAACTCTAAATACCCAGTGGTAATTAGACAGCAACAATTTGGGAATAGTCCAGTTACTATAACTGACTAACTGGAGCTAATATGGTGAGGCACGTCTGTCTACGTATACAATAACCATTCCTTAATGTCATTTGTCACAACTGCAAAGAGATTGGTCGTATTAAGTGGATTTATGTCCTATTACTATCGTATCCGCAGAGGCGTAAACGAAGAAGACGAATATTTATTTGAACACTTAAATATTGGTACAAAGCGGCACCGAATACATATGCGCCACAAGTCACTTGGTTTGTATGTGAGCTCTGATATTGCCCGAGTGCCCAAACCAATGCAGGTGGTTTTCTTAGGGGGCCTTCGACCCAAAAGTCTGATCTACAAGGTGGTGGAGAAACCTCAGAAGATGCAGTCCCATAGTAGCCGGTGACTAATAATTGGTCCATGCATTATCTGTTCTCTCAGGATCCTGGAGCCTATATGCACTATTGGTTTGGAATCAGGGTTTTTCAACTCCTCCAGGTGGATCCTCCATATCCACCAACCAAGTTACAGCGCCGGACATTTGCTTTTCGCCCTCTCAATTTCGTAAACAACAGTAATGCCGCAAGAAGGCAGTGGATAAATTGGAGAATGACATTATCCACACCACTGCAACCAATTTCGTATTCATCATGTTACAATTATAACGCGTTTCAAATTTTTGCAAGAAAATCAAATGGATAGTGATGAGTAACCTTCACTAAGAAAAATAGCGCTACCTTAGTAGATTAGATAAAAGTAAATTGTTGATCAGTTAATTCAAAGTTTAAGAAAAATATAGACAGAAAGAACCCTTTCAGTAAAAGTTCTCACATTTTTATAGAAAGTACGCAAAAATCGTAACAAGATCGCAATTGGCTTCGACTCAGACCTACGACCGATAATGTCTCAAGCCACCAAGCTGCACTATCTTTTGGACCACAACCAGGGAATCACGGTAAACAGATAGATGTCATACCCCGGGACAAGGTCTTGAACTTACCACCTATCTTTTGTCAACCAGTTCCAGCTTCGGTAAATAAAGCACGATTTAAAAGTCACTGGAATGACACTCATAGCATTTAGCCACGTCACCGAACCCGTTGTTTCAAGATGGTGACACCGATTAGACTGTTTTCACTACCCGACCACACGTTCCCGAACTTGAGTTAACATACACTGTTACATGTATACTATATTGTTAAGGGTTTGTAGTTCCCTGTTGTTAATATTCAGAACTAAAACTGAGTAGTTATTGAAATACGTGAATCGTGAGCGGTTGGCATCAACATAACCTAGTGGTTACAATGTTAACATTAATACTGAGATGGGATGAGTCTTAGGTAGGATAAGACGCATGACCTAAATTCCACAACAATCCAACCATATTGAAAACCATTCACGTATTAATAAAACTATAATTACTCAGTTGGGAGAAGACAGTAAGCAGGTTTAACAAAAAGAACAACTATTTACATGAGAAAATGGAGACTACACCATTGAAGAAAGAACAAACGTAGAATATAATGTAAGTGAATTATGTGACCAAAGGAAATCTCATTTTTAAATGAAAGAATTGTAGGTCATATGAAAACATATTGTCATATACAAGAAGTAGTATTTTACACATGTACTCATAGTGCAGAAAATACAGTCATGTAGTCATTGATTTGTAGAAGCAAATAAGGTTGAGTGTATATTTTATTCTTCACCATAATGTCCATGGAGTTAAACGTAAGTGATATACTGGAACCACAGAAACATTAACAGGAAAATCAACTAATGCTTTTGTTAGATTTAAATTATCCAAAGCAGTGGTTATTGAATGCCTTTAAAATTAAAGAAAAAAATCAAATGTGAACCTCTAGTTAACTATTTTCAAAATCACCAAAACCAGTTAATACTTATATATATTCGACTAAAATTTGTTTCCTATTGAGCTTATTACTACGTTATTTATAGATAACAGGGAAAGTAAGTTTATGGTTTTTTTATTTTAACACATAGATATTGGTACAAGGAGGCACTAAATACACATGTGCCACACAAATCTCATTCGAGATGTGTGAGGGCTGTGATACTGCCCGGGTGCCCAAACCGAAGCAGGTGGTTTTCTTAGAAGGCCACACCCCGAGCCTTCGACTTAAAGGTCTGATCCACAAGACGGTGGAGCATCGTAAGGAGATGCAGTTCCATGGAAGCCGGTGACCAACAATTGGTTCATACTCCATTTGTCCCCGTAGGATACTGGAGCCCATGTGCACCATTGGTTTTGAATCCGGTTAAAGTGCCGGACATTCGCTTTTTGTCCTCTCATTTTCGTAGACAACACCCTTGGTAGGAGAAGGCAGTGAGTAAGACTTCCCTGGCAGAGGCCATATATGCGTGGCCAAGTAAGTATTAATTATCACCAGAATAGTTGAACCTATTGAATGAATGATAATCTGTGACACGTTAACATATATTTACAGTGTGAAACCGATGAAATTCGGCCACTTAAAAGTTGTTAAATTGTGACTGAAATTAACAGAACCAATAGCATTAGGTCATTTGGTATTCAAGTTAACCTATTCTTCTGAAACCTAATCAGAAAGTCTCCGAATGCCAATAGAGTTCGACCAAATAATCAATGACTCCATAGATTGATACTCAACTTTGAGTTGATTGTTTTTGACTTTTTTCAACAAACTCAATTTTTAACCAGGATGGTTCACACGGGTAAGCAGTGGGTTGACCTGCAAAACACATATATTGACTAACTACGTTAGTAAACATTCATAGACTCATCAACCACCTATAACTTTTGTCCGACGTCTATTTTCAGCATTAATCTTTATTTCCATCACACACGATAAGTAAAATACCGATAACCTTTAAAAATCGTTCTTTACAATTAAATAGCGAGAGCAAACTGTTGGGGAATATATTCGCTCCTTGATTGGCAAACAGGCAGAGGCCAAAGAAGCTTTGGTACTCGTGTTAAGATATCGTCAGTTACTGGTTCGCCACATATGACGACATTTCCTAGATAAAACAGCCAAAATGCACTGATACATCATTTTTAATGATTAAAATGAATCCTATAACAGAATAGTCCTGAAAAGACATTACCTATTTGAAAGTGAAACTGTCACTCTGAGCGTTTATAGGATAACATTTTCATACCATCTATGAGAAGCAGAACTGTCATTAACATACTCTGATGATGAAAACCTCCAGTTAACTTAATTATGGAAAAGGAAGAAAATATACTGTAGTATTCATTGGGTGAATACAAATTTCTTAGTTAAACGCAATCCAGAATCTTGCACGTGTACATTTATTTAAATTCTCATATTACATTACTATGGAGAAATAAGATTATCAGGGCAAATCCCAGATTACTAAAGGTATTAATGGAATTAATATTAATAGAAAAGCTTGAGCATCGAAGATGTGGTCGAAGACGTTATAGATTAAAGAATAACCTAGAAAATCTATGAGGAGTCAGGAAACCTAGGTCCTGAAAAAAGAGAGTGATTGCGTTTGCGCCACTTAGAATGATTTGAAGCTATGTCACCCAAGGTCTCCAACCACCGTTGAGCGCACGCAATACATGTCCCAACGACTTCAAACGGCAAAGATTCACCGACTCATCGATTTATCTGCCATCTTTACAGAGTATTCTAAGTTTCACTTCAGAATTTGCAATTAGATGGTCCTAAAATAAACAACCGATGATTCGAAGATACATATTATTATTAATGGCTTTATTTAATATATATGATCAAATACTCGTAACCGATGGATATGCTGCACTTTCAAACAACATGTTTCACATCCATAAAGTTAGACAGGACTACTGCGCAGTAAATTCGTCGTTTGGTTGTCAGACGGGTATCCCACCTGCGTCACAAGTCACACATTTCGGCAAAAGCCAATCAAACCTTCCGAATCCGCGCCGAAATTTTGTCAGATACCGCCACATTGGGACTGATGAGGCTCTCAAGATAATCGAAAGGATCGGTACATTCAACTACTTGACTCCCTATTACTGATTCAGATGCCAGGGAAAATCAATTCCGAGGCAAGATTTTGCAGTTGGAAGGAGAGGAGAGCATCCAAAACATCCTTGCTTCGTTTTTTGATGTGGTCAGAAGACTGCATTGTGTCAGTGTCTCCACCAAACATAACTATATCATCTGAGTCAATAAGTAAATATCCTGGTAGGTCAGCCCCT